ATGGATGGATGGATGGATGGATGGATGGATGGATGGATGGATGGATGGATGGATGGATGGAAATATAGGAAAATGGAATAAAGCAACGAGAACAGATAGATAGTAAGGGGGAAAATGAAAGTAGGAAGTAGATTAAAAAAACGCTCTAGCTCCAATCTTTGTGCTCTAAACTACGGGTTCCTAATTATTAAAACGGAAAACACAAATCATTGTCCACCAAAATGTAATGGAGGTAAACTAAAAAAAATCGAAATATTTTTCAACAATATTTTAACTAACTAACTTTTATAAATAAAAATTCTCATTCGTTTTGAATGTCAAATACACACATAACACTCAAATGGTTTGAAGGTATTTGAACTGGCGGGAAACAAAACCGGTTTGACAGAACATAGGTGAACGCGTGTTCACCGAGCTACTCATAGTTTGACAACATATTCGAAGTGAAAATTTCCCCAATATTACATGAAACCTGACATCTGATTTCTCCAATTATGCCTCAAATCCACGTCTTATGCGAGCGAGTGCAAAAGTTCGGAAAATAAGTGGTCTAAAACATACATTGTGTACAAGGAAAGTCGACAAGTTTGCATGACAGTTCTGGAGGCGAGGGCTGAATGACTCGTGATAATTGTGTTTTTCTCTCGCTATAAAAACACATCTAAAATATACAGATGAAAGAAAAAACTTCGAATACTTACCATCTCCGATCGAAAGAGGCCAAGAAGTTGAAAGACCTCGGCCTAGAAGCTTATTTTTACGCCTGAAAGCGTGCATGGAATAGAAGATAATAGACATCCAACTCTCTGATAATGTGCAGTTTTGCTGGCCATCTTTGTGAATGAATAGCACAATCTTTTGGTCCTACTTCTTCGAAGGAACAGAATTTCAGTCCAAAATATCGCAGTTATCTCTGTTTGAATCCATTTTAGTCAGCCAACTACTGATCAGGTTCGGCTCGGACTTCGAAGGTGAGTAACTTATTTTATCTGCTTTTTCTCTGTCGCCTTTTTCTTCTTTTTTGCTTGAGTCTTCTTCATTAAAGTCCTGAATTAATTGGCCCTAATTCAAGAGTATTACTCCTGTAACAAGATAATAAAATTGTTTTCTAAATATATACATTTTTTGGGATCATTTTGGGTGATTCAAACGTTATCTAGCTTGTCAAAATATTGGAAGCAAAGTATAAAGCCTCGACTCCAAGCAGAAGAACCAAGACCCCGAGGAATGATGGGAAGCGAAAAGAATGGGGGAGGGCGTTGCCTTTGTTCCCTCTTTTTTCTACCTTTTTTCTCTTTCTTTTTTCTCTTTCTTTCTCTGATTTCTTTGTGTCTTTCTTTCCGCTTTCTTCCCTTTTATTCTTATTCCCTCCAAGTACGTAGCTAGAGAGGTAATGGAACAGATAAACACACCAAGTCTCGATTCGTTATCATGCTAAGGCAATCAGTGAGTTAGCAAGTATATCGTCCTTTTTAATACGAAATTCCCCTAAATTCTATCCATTATAACTGGTCAGGGATATCAAGCAAACTAATGTGGAAAAATCATTAACTACGGTATGAAAAACCCGGCTTTGTTTATGATAATTACGCACTGTAATACTGAAAAAGCTTTTCTTTACAGGCCTGGAACTTTGAGAAGCTAAGACTGATTTGAACATTATTTGAAGCCAATTTCAACGTCAACGTATTAAGTTTCAGACATGTATTCAAAAAGTAGTGTAGCAAACTAGATTTAAATAGACCAAGCTGTAAAGAAGACAACTATGCAGATACTATCGTGACTGAAACGCTAAAGAAACATGAAAGTTTTGACACACAATTTCTTAAAAACAAACCGCCAAAACTTTGAATTAATTTACATCGACCTTGATTATTTTAAGAAGACAAGGTTTTCATTGGTTTCTTGGTGTTTGTTTTGATTCTCGTAGTGTTTTCGTCCATCCACCAGTCGTTAGGTGGGAGCAGGTTCTCTTATGATGGTCGCAAATTTTTCAGCGGCTTTCTAATTAATCTTTCATACATTCCAGTGAAATTTAACGAGAGAATCTTCGTTTGGGAGCCCAATTAATATTGTATAAGGCGATCTTTTGTTGGACGAATCGACCAAGCTAAGGGAACAGTCAGCGACAATTTGAAGGAAATTCTTCGGGCTCGCTAATGACATAATTCGAGAAAATTGCATTGAAAACAATAAGAAATATTGGTAGAAAATTTCGAGGAATTTAAGGCCGTTAAAGGTAAGGTATAAAATACTTTGAAAGTAATCTGTAAAATGTCTTTTGTTTATTGAAAGCCGCTGCTAAAGATAGATTATGAAAGATGAAATGAAACTATCCTAATTACAAAAAAGATGAACATTTATTAAAGCTTTGATTTAGAATTTGAATCTAGAAAAAAGAAAAATTGGGTAACTATAGCCGAATAACAGAATATATATAGCGGCTCTCAATTCCAAAGACCAGAACTTTCATTGCCACATACGTCAATATATTAAAACACCACATTTTTTTCCAACAAATACCTAGAAATTTAAAGACGAATTTCATTCTCGAACTTCAAGTTTATAGCAACTTAGAAGAAAAATATTGAAAGAAATTTTATAAGAAATGTCCTTTAAATATTCTCTTAAAATCGTTTAAATTTTACTCAAATTCTCAATTACTTTTTATAGTTTTTTTAATAGTTTATAAGTTGAGTCAGGTATAGTAAGGCTTACTGTCGATATGAATCTGGGGGTTTATTGCTTACGAGATAATGTTAGTAGTTAACTCCGATTTATATTTTAATACTCTTTTTCTGATTTGCTTTGATTTAGTTATTTTATTTTATTGAGAAAATCCATCGTTCTAGTTGAGAGGATTAGTGTTTACGTGTGAACTCTTTACTTTTGCTTAGCGCGCTAACAACACCGAGAACAAATATGAAATACTTATACTTTTTCGTAGTTTTAAAGTCATTTTCGTTTACTCAAGAAAATTATCTTACAAATAACCTTATAAGTACCGAAAATTAACCATTTCAAAAGATTTTATCAAGAGTAAATCTTATCTAGTTACATTTCAGTTTCTAACTTTATTTCTTATAACGTTTCAAGACTACACTGTACACTAAACTACGCGAGTATACATTACTCTAAATTTTCAAGAATTATTGGAATTAACGTTAAGTAGAAAGTATAAGCCCTTTACTTTATTACATAACAAACTGTACATTTATTTTTTTAAATAATCAATGATAAAATTTGGAATATGTTAATGGTTTGTTGAGAAGATTTATTGTGAAGATTTTTTTTAAACGAGAAATAATGTAAAATTTGAAAACGCAAAATAATTCTAGGGAAAAAAAATTGAAAAAGCTCTTGAAATTTTTGTTGTGTCTTTGTTAATATCTAACATTTCAGTTTTTTTTCAATAATCGATTTTATTTCTTTGATATTCATTTATTTTTCGTTGTACATATGTGAAATAAGTTATAAGTTCTGGTATGTATATCTTTTTTTGAAAAATGAGATGATCTATCAGGGGTCTTGACTCGATGATCGAATATAGTCATTAGCAGGTGAGTTCAACCGGCACCAAACAAGAATGGCCACCACCCGACATAGAATGAATAAAGGTCAAAACTTCTATTCTTTCCATTTAAGTCAAGTCAAACGACATGAATAGACTCTTCTTTTGTGTCAGTAGGAAGGCTTTCATTTTAGACAGGTTGCATGTCGTGCAATCACTATGGATCTTTGTCTTTCCTGAAATGTAGGTCATAAATATTTGACACCAAACAGGTTTTGGACTAGTGTGAAAATCCTTCAAAAACTTGAGCTTTGCTTGTTCTTAGTTTTCCTAAGACGCTGTAAGCCTTTTGCAAGGAATCACGTTATTTTGCAGCAATTATCGCCGTGTCTTTCATTTGTCCTATTTGTTTGATCTTTATAAGGACATTGTTTTTGTATTAGAGACATATATTATGTAAAAGTCATGGCCCGTGAAAATTGTTTGTAAACTTTATACGCCACTAGGAAAACCATTATTGAAAGAGTCCGAGATTTTCCTTAACTGTAATAAACTAGGCGAGAAATTGGCCTTAGATCTAAACCAGTTGGGCTTAGTTTTTAAAATATGTAATGTGCTGTAAAATAGTTATAAACGTTTTCAGTGTACCATTACGTGACGACGGTCATGTTACATTGCAGGAACTATAAAAAACACAATTTTTTTATGAGGAAAAAATCAATTCCTGAGAGTAAAGGGATTTTATTGATCCTGCCATTTAACATGGACGCACGCACGTAATGGTTTAAAACTTCTATTAAAATCACTGTAATAATATTTTAAAACGATTAGGAATAAAAGTGTCATCTCTCAATTGAGTCATGCAGATTCAGTAAAACACTTAGTAAGGAATAAAAACGAAAGCCTTAGAAAAAGTTAAAACTGAAACGATGGAGAGGGAACGTAGCAATAAAAGCATATGTTTGAAAGGGATGTTAAAAAAATTGGTTAATTCAGTGGTGTTTTCTAGCGAACTAACTTTAGTTACTGAATGACCTTCCTGACAACCATATCATCAATCAACTCGCTCAAATTCATATTAGTGAGACTCTTTTTTTCTATTTTTCTTGTTCTTATCCCCTTTTTCATTATCATATTCTTCCTCCTCCTCCTTTCTCATCGCCATCTTTGATCAGCCCAGAGGTTGTTTCTGGGTAGCCCTAAAATTTGAAGCTTATCTGTGCTATTCGTTATTCCACCTTAGTAGTATTTTGTTGAGCTTGTCAGTGCTTGTCTAAGTTCTCCACGCAATACAACAGCAGTACTTGATCAAATGATGTTGTTTTTCAGGAGACGTTCAGACCTCTATAAGAGGTTGCCATTTGCAAGACCATGAAGACACTCTTACCGATAATCTTCTTACTCTTGGTCTTCATCCCTTATAATTACGCTAAAAAGAAATCAAAAGAAACCAAGAAAGAGAAGACTCCAACAGAAGGTAAGCAAACAATTAGAAAACAAAGCGAAAACCCATACGATATGTTTCTAATGATGGCTTTTTTCTTTCTCAGAGCCACTTCAATTTCTCGGATGCTTCAAAGATAGCGACCCGCGGGATCTCCCGCAACGGGTTCACGAGCATAGTGGCAGCGTTAAGGATTGCGTCAAAACCTGTAAAGACATGAAATTCAGGTTTGCTGGGATCCAATATGCCTACTTATGCTTCTGTGGTAACCTGCATGGTAGATTTGGTCAACTTCCAAACGGAAGATGCGACAGTGATTGCAAACATACAAATGATACCCAGTGTGGTGGAGAATGGGCAAACTCTGTCTACAAAACAGGTAGGTTTGCCATTTGCTGAAAAACTTTACAGAAAACAACAGTACACTTGAGCGATAAGGCCAATCTTTGATGGTCATCTGATTTTGTAACAAGTTATTACAGTGCTAATCGAAAAACCGTGGGCCCCTAATATTTCAAGAATGTTTCTTAACTAATCAGAAGCATTTTTGTTATCTTACCATTATCTTGTGGTTAGAAAGTCAATTCTGATTGGTCAAAGAACATTCCTGGAATATTTCTAGGTGCCCACGATTTTTCGATTCGCACTGTAATTTATTATATTTTTATTAATCTGTTAAAGAGAACACTCTTCATTACTCTTCTTTTGTATAGGGTACGAGCCTCCACGATTACGTCCGAAGACAAGAGTCAATAAACACGATAAGCGAGATAATGAGGTTATGTTTGATGAGCCAAAGCAGTACCAAACACAAGGTAATATGACTAGCAAGAAAAGAGAGCATTTTATATGAGCTTAGTTAACACAATGACTTTCAACTAGCTGGTTCATTCATTTTAAATTCTTAGTTATATATACCAACTGGAAAATGAATAATACTCAAACGAATGGCAATACTCACTGGAAAATGAATACCGATGCTCAAACGAATGACTATGCATGTATACCTATTGGAAAATGAATCGAATGCTTAAGCGAATGACTATCATGTATTCTCAGTGGAAAATAAATCACTCAAGCGAATGACTATATATACCCACTGGAAAATGAATAATGCTCAAGCGAATGACTATATATACCCTGACACGTGACTAGAAAAATGACATGTGAGATGTAGGGGAACACAGTTTATTCAACACTATTTATCAGCCTATTTTTATTTACACTTTTATCATTATTTTCAGACTCTCGTGTCTTCTCTATCGACGTGGAACCAGCAAAATACTCCAGTATTCCAGAGAGTGTCATCGAAAGACCAAGAAGTCAAAGATCGAGTGACTACTTAAACTCATATAATTCAAAACAATCAAATACATTGTCATCTTACGGATCCAATAACCAATATCCATCTTATAATCGTGGTTCTTATCAATATGGAAGCAATGCTGGTGCTAAACAATACAGTTCTGGTAACACACAGTACGGGAACACTGCTGCTGGGATAAATCAGTACGGGTATGATACTCCAGCTAATACAAGGCAGGAAATTTCTTCTAATAATTCTACCAGTACAAGTTATAGCGGATATCCTCAGCAATCCAATGATGCTCAGCAATATCAGGCTCAGGAACAAACCAATCAAGCTCAGTCAGATTATTCAAATACGCCTTCTGAAGCAGGCTCTTATGGCTCGACCTCGCAAGGGTACGGCACGGTTACTGGTGGCCAAGGAAATGGTTATGAGGCAGCTGGAGGATACAGTAATGATCAATATGGAACAAAAGCAACTAGCAATTACCCTGGAGGTGAAACAGCGAGCACTCAACAAGGGAATACAGCCAATTATTACCAACAGCAGAATAATACTCAGAGGAATGAACAGTTAACACAGAACAGCTACGGCAGCACTGCTAATGCTGGTAACGATGCCACAAATGCATATCGTATTTCAATATCATTTCATGATGATAATGCAACGGCTGCAGGAGGAGAAAATAGTACACAGTCGGGCAGCCAATCACAGCCCCCTCAAACCGACTCATCTCAACAATATTCATCTTCAAATGCAGGATATCCTTCATACTCTGCACAAGATTCAACCTCACAGTCTTCAGCTTCCTCTGCAACGCCAGCCGCTCAGGAACAACAGCAGTATGACAATACAGCATCTTCAGCCCCTGCACCAGCGGCAGCACCATATCAGACACAGGGTGAGGCGTCATCAGATTCAGCCACTGCAACATC